TAACAAGATCAGTTCACTTCTTCACTAATTAATATTTTCGTGTTGACAAATGATAGCTTGAGGAATGTGGAACGTTGGACGAGAACGGGCGATTGGAAATAACGAAAACGTACCTCGACACGGTGAAATGTAGAAAGGTGATAGAACCACCGAAACAGAGATGCGAAACTCACGACGCGAGCTATCGTCAAGAACAAAATTTGTGTAACTTTCCGGTTCAAAAAGGCCGAGCGATAAAGAAATGTAACTCTGAAAATAATTCGTTAATGCAATTTGATAGTACGATGAGGGCATGTGAGAATAATCAGATGAAGAGTGTTATATGCTCAAATTGTTCCTCAGAATTATTGCTAAATAGTTATCAGCTGAAGAATTTTGGTCAAGCGTGGAATGGAAACGTTAGTAACAATATGAAACAGGTTCCGGTTTACGAGAATGACTGTTCCAACGCTATCCTTCCTTCGATTAGCACGTTTTTAAATAGGGAGAAACGTTGGAAGAAGTGGGACGTAAATCATTCGGATAGGGTCTTCAGGACTCTGAGTGTTCAACCTGATCAAACTTCATCGAACTATCTTTCTCGCCCAATTAACGGGCGCAGATTCGATTCTTCTCTTTATCATTCTGATAATAATAATTCTGATTCATCGAGTCTCCCTAACACCGATTGTCAGTCTAGCGTTTGGAACTCTACGTACAATCTCGTAAAAAAACCTCCTATGGCTCAGCCTATCGCAAATGGCAATGGCAATAGTGACTATGTACACGGAATTAATTATAAACATAATATTGGACACGATAATAGCTGTTTGTCTAACAATGTTCTTAATTCTCATTCGTCAAACGAAACTAATACTCTGTCCATAAATTATCAGTATAACTATGAAAAGTGGTCGATGAATTCCAGTGAGGAGAATAACAGGATTTACTTCCCGTATCAGGATTTTTCCAAATCACAGAACGCTTACGAAAATGTTCCACGGCAAGTCTCATCCAGCGATATCAATCAGAATGATTTATTCTTCTCGCACGATATTTATCAGCACGACACCGATAAAATTTTGCAAAGCAGTAATTTAAACAGCATCGGCTATTCGAACGATTATCATAATCAGAATCACGTGTCTTCATTGGATCCTACTTCGTCTCAGTTTAATGGACGATTCACGAATAAAAATTCTGTAATTCCGGCATATCCTGTGAATTCGCTGGAGGGTTTCGTGGAAGGCGAAGGAAACTTTCGCAGATTTTGAAGTCTTTCAATTATTAAGAAGAATTAATTGTATTTTATATGTAATCGAAGTATTTTAATATCTAGATTTCTTCGTTGGGTATCGTTATATAAGAGAAGATAAGCATGCTTTTAAATCGACACGAATATTCAGTGCGAGTTTCTTATCTCTGGAAACACCAGTAAATAGGATAATTTTTTTTACCACGTACCATTCGTAAATGATAAACTTATTTTCTAATAATTGTGTATAAGAGATTAATTATGACATTTCTTTTTACAATCAGTGTTCGGAATCTTTCGACAGTCTTCTTTTGCTAAGCATGCGAATTGATTGATTTTTTCATGTTTCAGTCACAATGAATGAATAGTAGAAAATTTGTAATTTTATAAAATCTACAGTTCCTAACTATTATTATTAAGTCGTTTTAGACCAAAGTATTATTATTGGTAGCCTGTATTAGTGACAGTAGATTAGCCATTTATTTGTCGCTGTAATCATAAGCACTTTATACGTCATTTTATTTTCTAATCGAACTTATGCTTGTAATTCCTTTTTTGCTCTCGAAGCACGAAAGCATTGTTATGGAACTATTCTCAACTCTTCGTATCCTCTTCTTTCTACAAGATTGAACGCATACTAATTTTTCTAATCAAAGAATTTGTATTATCGTTATGTAATGGAGATTGTGTACCGTTGAACGAAATTACAATTAATTCTAAATTTTAGAAATAATGCTAGAATGGATACACGATTTATGATACATTATAATATTTTACAATCATTATGAAACAATCTTGAAAAACTTTTTTTCTCTTGTAATCAACGATGTTTCACATTTTAAAGGAAATAAATACGTTTTGAAAACAATACCTGAGGATATTTGACATGATCGACTGTTCTATATAAACAACGCTATCACTGATCTATATATATACTTTTTTCACAATTTTCATTTATGTACACTTAAACGTCTATTTCGTTGAGTTTTACGTAAGTGTAGGTGACTCCGTGCGCACTGGCACTTGCTTTTGCCCGCAGTGTGGGCAATTTCTTCGCCGGTTCCGTGCGCTCTGAAAGTTCAGGTAAGTAGTCAATAGTCCAGATAAACAATTACAGTGCAGTTCTTACGTGATGAGTTCTTATCCGCAAGAAATTCCCGCAAATCCAACACTTCAATCGCTTTTCATCGGGTTCCCTTCTATAGTGTGTCTAAAGTGCGAAAGTTAATTTTACATGCAGAACACTTAAACGACTTTTGTATGAATTCAATATTGGCGTGATTCGTCATACTTTAACAGTGTTAGAAGTGGCACAGTTTTCACAATATATCCTCCCCCGTTTGTCTCTGTATAAATTGCAATACTGATAGGAACTCGATACAGGTAACTGTTGGAATATTGAATAAACGTTGTTGTTATTAAATAAATATGTTTGTATGTATTTAACAGTGGAATTGAGAACAACCTGGATCGTTTTGCACACGGGGCATAAGTTTGCACCTTTCTCGTCAAAGGTATCGCGCTCTTCTGCTAGGAGTCTCTGCAAAATATTTGATTAAACAATCATTGCCTCTCTTCTTCAGTAGAAAACTGTACATGATTACCTCTTCCTCTAGTTTCTCAACGTAAGAGGCCGCGCCTGTGTCCAGAGAGTGGACATCCGTATCATGTCTAAAATCGTTCCATTAAATCAATTACGGCAAATTATAAGACATAAAGCAAAATTGTCTTTGAACTGTAATTTCTTACGATAGGTGTGATGGTTCAATTCTGTTTTTTCTTCGGAAACCGGAACTTCGTTTGCTTTTAGACGGAGTCGTGCTCGGCATTCTGCAGAATACAGAAAAGCAGTTTGTAAAGTTATGTAAAAACGTGGGAAAGAAGCAATTTCCGGTGTGTTATCGGTTACACAATAAGGTCGAACGAGATTAGAAGTATGCAGACTGCAGGCTTGCAATAAATGCGTGAAATTAAAACTAGACAGTAAATGCACGTTCGTATTTTCAATTGGACGGAAAATAAAATTAATTCTTACGGTTGTATATCTGCTCCAGGTGGTTCTTTCGCGGTCTTCGACGACGTCTCAGGATCTTTTGGAAGGTGATCTGATACAGTGTCATGCTTCCCTCTGAACATCTCCGAAATGTCGTCCTTTTCCATCGATTCCACAATCGACACTTCAGAGTCGGAGTCCGAGAGCTCCCATGTCGTCCTGGCAGTATGTACAGAATCTTTAGGTCTCCTTTTACCCGATTGTACAGCAACCGCGCCGTGAGTATCTTTGATCCTCTTCGTTTGGTCTCTAGGGAGTCTTGTGTCATGCACATTCATTTTCTTCTCGCTCGACAATACTATAGAATTATCCACACTTTTTACAGGGGAAATAGCGGAGTCTTTCCCCTCTTCGATTTCTTGCAGGCGATCCATCATCTCGGCTACTTGTATCCTCGGGTGAATTAGTCTCTTCGATTCGACTTTCCCGAGTTCCGCGGTGGCGACCGATTCCCCCGAAAGAGACATCGTGATTGCTGAGATGTCCGACTGTCTCATCCTGTGTCTCGAGTCCATCGCGATAGTCTCATTCTCATTCTTATTTTCATTCTTGTTCTCATCCTTGTTTTCATTCTTGTTTTCATTCTTGTTTTTATTCCTATTCTCATTCTTTTCATTCCTCTTTTCATTTTTATTTTCATTCTTGTTTTCACTCCTGTTTTCATTCTTATTTTCTTCTTTATTTTCGTTCTTATTATTGTTTCCCTCGAATGTCGGTGTAGAATGGAAAGCAACTTCTTTCCTCTCAGAATTCTTGTTTCCTTCCTCCTTCACTTTATCCGATTGTGTGTTTGGGGATTTCATCGACCTTGTATTTCTGCCAGAATGTAATTTTCTATTATTCGTCGGTTCTCTCTTCTCAGCATTCCCTTCGTTGTTGCCCTTCTCTGACATCAATACTTTGTGTTTTCCCCTCATCTCATTCCTCATCTGCAATGCTTTCGAATTTTTCGAGTTGCCCGACTCATCGACCTTTTCTCTATCAATATCAATTACGTTCTTATCGCTAACTGTTAAAGTGTTAAACTCAGTTAATGTAAGAGAGCTTTACATCGTATCCTCTGCCTCGCCGGTTTGACTCGAGATGCTAGATTTCTTCGGTACCATCGTGTACGAAGCTAGTGTGACTTTAGTTATTGTTCCCGAGACCTCCGTTATTTTTTGATTGTCCGGCTTGCCTTTGAAGAAAAGGAATATTTAGAATTAAGGTCACACATGACCGTTCTTCATTAAAAATTCTAGTCTTCAGGTGCATCTACAGTCACTCGCAATAGTATGCGTATCTCCCAATAAAGGATTCAACATTTTCATCGAGTCACTAATTATCATACTTTTGCGAATAACCGTGTCAGCCTCTGTGAACACGACACGCGTGTTCTTCGTCGAAGAAATAGCCACACTTCTACGTTTCATTCGTATATTTGTTCCAAGCGATTTTTATAATTGTCAAAAAAATTCCACTGAACTAAATGCTAAAACTAAGGGCGGGGAAATCGCGCGCTTGCTGTCTAATTAGCTCATTTATTCGCAACCTGATCGAGTTTATCTTTCTCACTCGGCAACGTGTCGTGGAGATTCTTGTCCGCCGGTTCCGTCCGATGGTTCGGGTCCGAGTTCAACTTCGCTTCCCGTTGCTGTTGCGTTTGCGCTTGCTGGTTCTGTTGCATTATTATGCCGGTGAGGTTACACCTACAACTAATTACAATAAAAATGATCCATTAATGACTTAATTTAATACCTATTTGAAATAATTGTTTTAAGAGGCATTTTCATTCGTTCAATTTTAATGTCACATAGTTTTATATTGACCGAAGGAGTATTATTTAAAATTGTAAATAAGAATACCCTGGAGAACAGGGGTGTCCTCGGAAGAGTTGAACGAGCGCTGGGCAGGGCGCGCACGCTTGATGAGAGGCAGGAATCGTGCCCGATGATTTCGACGAAAGATTGATCTTCCTATTACACATTTCACATCTGCTTACCGTTTGCACCGGAATTTCTTTCACTTCTCGCGGTGTCTAATCGAAGTCCGATTATTCAGTGAAATATCTCGTATGAAATAAACGTGTTTTCAATTGTTCGGTTTACTTGGCTCTGTATGTTGACCACGGGACGTTTCTCCGTTTGGACGTCGCAGACGCTGGTAGTCGCGAGTGTCCGCGCGCTGGTCTTGCAGTCGACGTATTCGCGCCGATGGCCGTAGTTAACTTTCCTCTTCGAGTGGTCGGGAGTCGGTTGCTCGTCGCCGGATGGTACTTGCACGCTACTCACGCTGGTCATCAGGTCGTATTTGACCGTCTATATTGTAGAGAGACACCTTAAAAGAAACGTGTCACTCCAGGAACATAGATTACTTCAGGCTAGTTGCGTTAATATTATGGACCTCCGTAGAAACCAACATATGAACATTCCTTATGCTTTAGAGAAATTTTAAAAAAGATAATGAATGGCAATTCACTTCAGCACACTTTGCGATCCTATTGACTTATTATTCTTTCTCTATATCTCATTCTTCGCAATAAATAAGAAGATTTTCCTTCCTTATTAAATTATTTGTTAATAATTTGATTATTTTTCATCGGATAAAATGAGAGATTCTGAACTCACTTCGGTGCACTGAGGGTCACACTCGCCGGTTGCTTGGTACAGAACTTCGGCTTTATTCGCGTAACAGCATTGCTGACAAAGATTGCAGCTACGTTTCCAAAATCTAATAATCAGGGATATCAGTTTCAGTGACGATCGTATCAGTCGTGTCGCTCAAAACTTACGCTAATACTAATGTGACGTCGATTACGAAGAGAATGAACGCAACTAATGAGAAACAGGCTATCGCCACTATCGTCCACGGCGAGGTGTATGTGAATAATATTATAATTCCAGCGGCCGCGAAGAATATCATACCCAGTAAGGAAAATATGAACATCTGCAATGAAACCAGAAATATGGACAATCTTGCCTCACTCCTGATTGGCTCCATTTAAAATAGAATTATTAATTGTCTATAAAAAACGGTTTACCGGCAGACTGTGTATTTCTCCTCCACCGAATTGGCAAATTAAGTCAAGCGCCAGAACGAAAACATAGACTCCGGACAACGCGAGGATTAATATGCATATTACGGATGTCACATCGTGGCTAACAATGTGTATCGTATAAGTTATAAGTACAAAGATGAGGACTACCGCCAGCTAGTTGAAAACACGATTTAATTATTCAATCTTATTTAACATATGCCTTTCACCGTCGCTGATAGCTGTCGACACTCACGAATTGAAATATCCTGAGGGGTCTTATTACTTGTCGAATACAACTGTCGAGTACACCGCCGCCAGCTCTGTCAGCCACTCCACGTCCGGATTTCTTTTTCATAGGACGGAACCAATCAAGGATACTACCTGAAAGGGGAAAACGTGAAAAGTTTCGGTAGAAGGAACGGAGAGTAGGGACAGAACGATTAGAAGGATGATTAAACCTTTGGGCTCCATGATCACTCAGTTTTACGAAACTTTCATTAGCTTCCTGTCATCGAGCGAACCTCCAAATCGTTTCAAGGGTTTTACGCGTCATCCAGTTTTTTGTTTGTTGTTATGCTAAATCGATGCATCGATGGATTTGCAATCGTGTTCAGAAGAAACTTTCAACGATAACGCATAGTACGTGTTCTGATATTTATTAAACAAATGTTCGTGCGATTCGTTTCGTACATGTAGCATTATAATAAATCATTTCCTCATGAATCCTTGCTTATTTTATTTATAAATTATAAGTCGCTTATACAAAATTACTATTAAGGACGGTTAATTAGTCTCAAGCGTTAATTCGAAACACATGACTGTCTGATTACAAGACGATCATTAATAGTAAATTGGACGGAATTTTTGATAAAGACGCATCAATTCTTGTTAAATCTACAACAATAGATCTATACGTTTCATTAAGCGTACATACAAAGACGAATCTCTTTATCTTGCAGTAGCTACTAT